AGATAAACGGCCCACTGCCTCGATAGCTGAAGCGCCTAGAGAGAGACGACACTGCTGAAAATGTCGTTGGATCGAATCCCATCTGTTTTTTAATTATTTCCTGTTTTCTGTATTTTTCTATGTTTATCCATATTTACATGATTTATTTACAACAATTTAATAACAACAAATAATTTTTTTGGGTTTATAGAGTTAGGGTTAGGGTTAGGGTTAGGGTCACAATGCACCATAAAACAATGTACAACATACACTATAGCATGCGTCAGCATTACTTCAACCTTGAAGACGTACGGCTTCGTAGCCACGTGGCTAGCAGCGGATTGGAAAGGAAAGCCATGCTGCACCGACTTGACCTATAGTTTAATTGGACGGGACACCTGCAGGTCACACGTGGGGGTCACATGACTGTGACCACGTGGTGTCACACGGCTGTATATAAGCTGCGGCGTCAAAGCTCCAAGCAACACGGCTCAGTCAGGGAAGCTCGCACACCCTCCCACGCTCTCTAGCTGCTGGCGGCTTGTCCGCCCTGCTAGCTGACCATGTAGGGTGTAGCGGAGCTCGGTCACAAGTCTATGCAAGGATACACAACGCAGGACGATGATCACGTGCCCGCCGCTTGCTGTCCCCTTCCTGACGCAAGGATACACAGGCGCGAGGCCAGCTCGGCTCAGTCAGGGAAGCTCGCACCCTCACAGCTCGCGCACGCACATACGTGTAAGTTCACACGCACGCATGCACGCACATGTACGTGCGCACGCACACACGCACGCACGCAGCACGCACGTGTACGTGCACTACATAAACAGTGCTTTCTATCAGAACATGTGGTCATTCATCTGTAAATGTCAAGCAGCACGCTTTGCTCCTGCCAACCACAACACATAACAAATTCACGTGACCTGATCTATGACGTCACGTGAAACATCACTATTAGGCCTGCGCGATGGCGTGTGCATATGTTTGCTAGTGAATTAGACCCGCTAAAATTCGAGACTGTTCGCTGGCAGCAATTGATCCGTGCGCCGGCCTTTCGATTTGGCGCACGGATCAATAGCTGCCAGCGCGTTCCCGCGGTCGCGTGCGCCTTGCCGCGGAACTGCGGCGAAGATTCGCGCTTAGCGGGCAGGATCAACACCTCTCAGGCGACGCTTCTCTGGTATCCGGTCTCTCATCTGGATGTGCGTGTGGGTGTGAATATCTGTGAATGGATGCCTAGTGGCGTGCTTGCGGGCGTGTGTGTGGGCGTGTGCGTTTGTCTTAGCGTGCGTGTGTGCGTCTGTCTTAGCGTGCGTGTGTGCGTGCGTGTTTGCGGGCGTGTGTGTGTGTGCGTGTGCGTGTGCGTCTGTCTTAGCGTGCGTGTGTGCGTGCGTGCTTGCGGGCGTGTGTGGGGCGTGTGCGTCTGTCTAGCGTGCGTGTGTGCGTGCGTGTTTGCGGGCGTGTGTGTGTGTGCGTGTGCGTCTGTCTTAGCGTGCGTGTGTGCGTGCGTGCTTGCGGCGTGTGTGTGTGCGTGTGCGTCTGTCTTAGCGTGCGTGTGTGCGCGCGTGCTTCCGGGCGTGTGTGTGTGCGTGTCGTCTGTCTTAGCGTGCGTGTGTGGCGCGCGTGCTTGCGGGCGTGTGTGTGTGCGTGTGCGTCTGTCTTAGCGTGCGTGGTGTGCGCGCGGTCGCTTGCGGGCGTGTGTGTGTGGCGTGTGCGTCTGTCTTAGCGTGGGTGCGCGCGTGCTTGCGGGCGTGTGTGTGAGGTGTGCGTCTGTCTTAGCGTGCGTGTGTGCGTGCGTGCTTGCGGGCGTGTGTGTGTGCGTGTGCGTCTGTCTTGAGCGTGCGTGTGTGTGTGCGTGTGCGTCTGTCTTAGCGTGCGTGTGTGCGTGCGTGCTTGCGGGCGTGTGCGTCTGTCTTAGCGTGCGTGTGTGCGTGCGTGCTTGCGGGCGTGTGTGTGTGCGTGTGCGTCTGTCTTAGCGTGCGTGTGTGCGTGCGTGCTTGCGGGCGTGTGTGTGTGTGCGTGTGCGTCTGTCTTAGCGTGCGTGTGTGCGTGCGTGCTTGCGGGCGTGTGTGTGTGCGTGTGCGTCTGTCTTAGCGTGCGTGTGTGCGTGCTTGCTTGCGGGCGTGTGTGTGGACGTGTGCGTCTGTCTTAGCGTGCGTGTGTGCGCGCGTGCTTGCGGTGTGTGTGTGTGTGTGTGCGTGTGCGTCTGTCTTAGCGTGCGTGTGTGCGCGCGTGCTTGCGGGCGTGTGTGCGTGCATGTGCGTCTGTCTATAGCGTGCGTGTGTGCGTGCGTGCTTGCGGGCGTGTGTGTGTGGCGTGTGCGTCTGTCTTAGCGTGCGCTGTGTGCGCGCGTGCTGCGGTGTGTGTTTGTGCGTGTGCGTCTGTCTTAGCGTGCGTGTGTGCGTGCTGCGTGCTTGCGGGCGTGGTGTGTGTGCATGTGCGTCTGTCTTAGCGTGCGTGTGTGCGCGCGTGGCTTGCGGGTGTGTGTGTGTGCGTGTGGGTCTGTCTTAGCGTGCGGGCGTGCGTGCGTGCTTGCGGGCGTGTGTGTGTGCATGTGCGTCTGTCTTAGCGTGCGTGTGTGGCGTGCGTGCTTGCGGGCGTGTGTGTGTTCATACGTGTGTGTATGTGATTGTGTCAGTGAGTGTCGTGTAGAAGACCTATGCTGACAGTACTGTTCTATTAGCCCCCCCCCTCTCTCCACCATGCACCCCCCTCCCCAGCATGCACCCCCTCTCCCACCCATGCACCGCCACCTCCCCACCATGCCACCCGCTCTCCCACCATTCACTCCCCTCCCCACCATGCACAGCCCCTCTCCAGCATCACCCCCCTCCCCACCATGCACCCCCTCCCCACCATGCACCCCCTCCCACCATGCACCCCGCCCCTCCCCACCATGCACCCCCCCCCCACCATGCCGCCCTTCCCACCATGCACACCCCCTCGCCCCACCATGCACCCCCTGCCCACATGCCACCCTCCCCACCATGCACCCCCTCCCCAGCATGCACGCCCCTGCCCCACATTCACACCCCCCTCCCTACCATGGCCCCCCCCTCCCGCACCGGTAACCGCCGTGACGTAGCTAACGCAGTAGCATTGTAAGTTTGCATCTCTGTAACCGCCGTGACGTAGCTAACGCAGTAGCATTGTAAGTTTGCATCTCTGTAACCGCCGTGACGTAGCTAAGGCAGTAGCGTTGTAAGTTTGCATCTCTGTAACCGCCGTGACGTAGCTAACGCAGTAGCGTTGTAAGTTTGCATCTCTGTAACCAACCGATGATCGAGTATAATCGATGATCGTGACATCACTAGTTACAGAGATGCAAACTTACAATGCTACTGTGTTAGCTACGTCACGGCGGTTACAGAGATGCAAACTTACAATGCTACTGCGTTAGCTACGTCACGGCAGTTACAGAGATGCAAACTTACAAAGCTACTGCGTTAGCTACGTCTCGGCAGTTACAGAGATGCAAACTTACAATGCTACTGCGTTAGCTACGTCACGGCGGTTACAGAGATGCAAACTTAAAATGCTACTGCCTTAGCTACGTCACGGCGGTTACATAGACGCTCTGACATTATGACATACCTTCACGTCGTGTGGCGTTGGTGGTGTGGCAGGGGGCGCCGGCGAAGCGTCAGTACAAAACGACGACGGGGTCGTCCTGGGATGCGGGCGCATCATCTGCACCTCCTCTGGCCGGAACCTTTTCACTGGATGATTAAACCTGAAGCAAACACAAGGTTGCAGAAGATCTGATCAGCGTGCGGTTAGAGGCATCTGTGTGGTCAGATGGAGTTCTGTGGATTGAGGCAACTGTGTGATAGATAGCCGTGTAGTAGAGGCATCTGTGTGGTTAGAGGTAGCTGTGTGGTTAGAGGTGCCGAACCACACAGTTGTCTCAATCCACACAGCACCTCTAACCACACAGATGCCTCTACTGCACAGCACCTCTAACCACACAGCTACCTCTAACCACACAGATGCCTCTACTACACAGCTATCTATCACACAACTATCTCTAACCATACAGATGCCTCTAACCACACAGTTGCCTCTACTGCACAGTACCTCTAACCACACAGCTACCTCTAACCATACAGATGCCTCTAACCACACAGATGCCTCTACTACACACAGCTACCTCTAACCACACAGCTACCTCTAACCACACAGATGCCTCTACTACACAGCTATCTATCACACAGTTGCTTCAATTCACACAACTATCTCTAACCATACAGATGCCTCTAACCACACAGATGCCTCTACTGCACAGCACCTCTAACCACACAGATACCTCTAACCACACAGATGCCTCTACTGCACAGCACCTCTAACCACACAGATACCTCAATCCACACAGCACCTCTTGGTTAGAGATAGTTGTGTGAATTGAAGCAACTGTGTGATAGATAGCTGTGTGGATTGAGGCAATTGTGTGGTTATAGATAGCTGTGTGGATTGAGGCAATTGTGTGGTTAGAGGTGCTGTGTGGACGGGGGAAACTGTGTGGTAGATAGCTGTGTGGTTAGAGAGAGCCGTTTTACGGCTGATGGCAGTGTGGTAGAGCGCCAGCAGATGTGATGTGAAATGCGGTGTACAGATGTGACGAGGTGTTGCAGGACGCTAATGGGACATCGGGTGACTACAGCTAGCTACAGGCGAGACATCAAGGATCACAGAGTGCACGTGTAGCTACACTTGTAAACAGTCGTTAGCTAGCACGCAGGCGTGCTGATCGTATTAAATAACCGCAGCTATAGAAGACAAACAGGATTGGCTCTAAAGTTCGAATTGATGACTGCACTGATGGAACATAATCCAAGGTCAACATTCAAGCTGGCGATTGGCCATGGACAGAAACCTCTAGCACAGGAACCTGCATTTCAATACATGCCTTATGTAATTCCTTATTTCAAACGAACCTTATCGCAATCACAACCATCCGTTCACCTCTCTCATCGCTCGCTACTCTACAATCAACATGCGTCTTCCAGTGTCCAATCTGCAGCACTGCTCTGCACAGTGTGAGCACGAACAGCCTGCTAGCTTGGCACACGGCTGTGTGTGGTAGCGTGCTGCGCTCGCGCGTGCGTGTGCGGGGGGGAGGGGTGGACACTCACCAGGCGGTGACGAGCGAATAGTCGTAGAGCGTCACCATGTCGCTGTCCTCCTCGTCGCGATACGACGACCCCAGCAGACACGGCCGCTTCAGGTCGCGCCGATCAAACTGTCCCCTGGTGGCGCCCGCCGCCGCCCGTCTCGTCCACGAGAGCGCGTCGGACGCCGCGGGCCGGTCGCCCGGTGGCGCCGCCACGCCGCCGCCCGCCGTCTTCTTGGTGGGGTCTTGCCGTTGCTGAGGCTCCTGAGTGTCGGGCACTTCGGGTGGGTGGTTGGATGACGGGGGATGGGGCGAGAGCGTGGGCATGGTGGGGTCGGGGGCGACAGGCGGGGCGTGCTGCGGCACGAGCAGCGGCGAGGGGGCACCGGGTGAGTCAGCGCGCCCCCCGCGGAACCCGCCGCCGCTCGGCGTCGTCGCACGACAGTCAACGGGGGCGCTAGTGAGCAGGCGCTGCGAGTAGTCGTGGTGCTGGTCGTCCACCAGGGGGCAGCGGCGGTGGAACGGGCCCGAGCCGCGGCCGCGCAGGCCCTTCTCCTGTCGCTCGGGCTTATCCGTAGGCTTGTGCTTGCCTTGAGCCACCCCCAACTTACTCTTCTTAGACCTGCAGGTAGACGAACAGTGATAACAACCTTATCAACCCACATCTCACTTCCAGCAGACATACATAGATAGATCGATACAGAGATGGATGGATGGCTGGACAGACAGACACTGAAAAATGGATGTACTGATTGACAGATATACAGACAGACAAACAGATAGATGGGCAGATATACAGACAGACAAACAGATAGATGGACAGATAAACAGTACCATACAGATACCCTTAATCTATGAAACCTTCTATCTATACAAACATAAACGGTGGAATGAGGGGGGGGGGCTGAAAACCATTAGTTATTATAGAAGATGACAGATGTTTATTATGCAACATAATGACTGCAACAGGAGTTGCTCGGAAATGGGAAAAACCTTGAGCTTGCAAATAAATATCTGCAGCTGATTTCGAGATGTGGCTCAACTTGAGAACACTGCGGCAGCCGATTCACCGGATACTCACGCCAATTACGATTTTTGCAGGTGAATTATTACAAATGTTTTACAACGGACATGACGAGAGATAAACATCAGGGAAGCAAAACGCAGTAGGTGACTGCACACTTACTTGCATCCGCACACAGACTTGTGAGTTGGTTCCACGAAATCCCACTGGGCAGCGCTGTCTGCTATAGCATCTGCTGTCATGTTGTTGCGACTGCAATAGAGACAGACGCGCGGCTAGTCGACGACAGCATCGCAATCAATGCAGAATCCCCGCATGCTGTGAGTCAGCAAGTACAGTGACCCACGCTCAAGAGTGCCAACAAGCGGCCTGACATCAGGCCCGCCCCCCCTCCCCCGCTCCGCAGCATTTTTCGTAAAGCACTTGCCTGTGTGAGAGCCACGCTCGCTCGCACCCCGCGCGACGCACGGGTTTTAACTAGTCGTTGCGTTATTCTTCCACTAAACTGCACATTTTAACGTAATAAAGTCGCGTCGCTTCGGTTTAGCTCCTCTCTAACCCGCAGCATTAAAATCAATATTTACAAGGAGGCTGACAGCTGCCTCATTACAGTTCCCACAGATGCTGGTTGCCTGCTCACCTGCCCGCGCGCGCGGCGACGCCGACGGAGGCTGTGCACTCATGTCCATTTTACTGGGACCAAAATATTCAATGGTCCGTCGGACCATTGACTTTGAAAATCTGATGGTCCTCCTGATTATTTGATGGCCCCGGACCATCGGACCATCGCTTATTTCGACCCCCGATTTGTCCGCTAGATGTCTATATTCGCAGGAATTCGGCTGCGCTGCCGAGCACCACTGGAAATCACCCCACTGCTAAAATTATCGCCCGCATTAAAGCCTATTTATCATTATTATAGCTATAAATATGAGTGGATTTAACAAATATGGATAAGCCTATGTTGGTGTCCGACACACGGGCTATACACTGAGATCGGTGGCGTGGGCTTGATGCTCACCGCGACGAAGATTACCGCGTCAGAAAATCGGCCTCTCCTCTCTTATAATATAGACTTGGTTGCATCATATTTATATCTATATGTATATTTATATGTCGGCACAGAACATACGCGTATATTTATTGACCGCTTTCAAGGGCAGCCGTAAACCGAATCACGCCAATAAAGCAAATTAAACTTTCTACAACATAAACTGGTTAACGCTGGAGGAACGTGTGCCGCGCGCAGCCGTTAATTCGCGTGCGCGCGTGCGTTCTTTCACGAATACGGAGCTGTCTATGCATGCCTGAATGTCAATCAGCCTAAGTAACAGCTCATCACATTAACCACAACAGTATTTCCCTCGTGCGCTCCTTACGCACTAGCGCCTCTCGCCCCCCCTCATTCCTTATCCCCTACTCATGTCTCTCCTACTCACTAGCACCCCCTGTGGCACATGCATAATCCCAGGCTTCTTTTGGTCTCCTTATTAATACCCCCTCATTACACCACCTCATCATATCTCAAAACACACGCCTCCCACACACAGCCCCATACCCTGCGTGCAGATACTCACGTCTTGCTAGGAGAGCCAGTGAGGACGGTGTCCTGCCACACAGAGTTGACGAGCTTGTCGCACAGCCTGTCTGAGGGCACGGCTTCTGTCGACAGGTCACCAGAGCTCTGTCTGCAAGCCGCGTTCGCTACGACCTGTAACAACAATCAGTCATTGCTGTGACAACCCAGCTGCTCACAGTTCACTTACGTTTACCGCATATCATAATACTGTAAGTGTAAGAGAAGCATCAACAAACAATAAATAAATAATCGGGCGCGAAATTGGCACCGGCCCTCCGGCATTTGCCGTCAAATTATTTGGAGGGCCAGTAACATTGGCAAAAAACACCGGCCCTCCGAGCCATTGGTTTCAGCCGTGTTAGCGAGTATCTACATTTTTATTTATAGCATTAATAAGCAAATTAATGATTCATGACCTGCATTATAGTCTGTTAAACAGCTACTATGCGATGCCACACACTACAACATTTTTCGGACAAGCAAGGGTCAGTAAAACAGTCTCATCTTTATTTTTGAAAAAAAAAAATTGTGAGGACTGGTCAATTATGGTGAGGGCTGGTAAAAAAAACTGCTGTTACCAGCCCTCTGGGCCAGTGCAAAAAATCTGAATTTCATGGCCTGTATATATATATAAATATATATATATATATATATATATATATATATATATATAGTATATAAAAAAATAC